GAAAAAAAAAAAAAAAAGCCTACGTGACTATTTCTGATGATTCGGAACCTTATTTCGCGAAGAATAATGCTTCGTAATTAGGTTTGGATAAATAATATTGATATATTAATACTATATATAATTCCCGAATGCGCTGAGCCTACGTGGCCGTTTCTGGTGCTTCGGAATCCTACTTGGCGAAGAATAATGCTTCGTAATTAGGTTTAGATAAATAATATTGATATATTAACAATTATTAATCTAGGTTCGGATATTCCATAAATATTATTTAGCTAACTTAGGTATTTTAATATCACTTTTACTAATATAACCCTTTAATTCTTTGTAATTTTACATAGTGAGGCACTAAGTGATTAATATATCCCTGAATTTTGATTTGTTTTTTTCAAAAGCTATTGAATTATAAATGTATTTTAAAAGTTGACAACTTTTGTATTTCTTATCGGTTTTACATATATAATATATCAAATTAATCATCTCTTGATGATCTTTGATTTGACATCCATATTGTATATATGAAATAAATGAATTATATTTATCTTTATGATAATAAAAAATAATAATATTTATTAAAATTCATTAGAAAAATAAAATTATTTTTCAGTTGATATATTTATATGTAATGTAGTTATATATTGTAAGTTAAAAAAATAGTATAAGATAACACAAGTAAGTTGCACAAATAAAAAGTATCATAATAAATATATATTAATATATATATTCTTATAAAGGTATTTAAATTTTCAAACTACTTTTTCTCAAGCACCCGTGTAATACACGGGTGTTGTACTAGTACAATGTAATTACAGATATTGAGGTGATGTAGACATAATAAGAGCATTCCAATACTCTAAAGTTGTTTAGAATCTAAATAAGTATAAATTTTTTTGATTATTTTTAAAATAGTAATTGTTTCCCGAAAAAAAAAAAATCATACTTATTATATGGAAATAAATTAATCGGTATATGTTATAAAGTAGGTGAATTTATTTTTGGTATTAGATGGTTGTTTTTATGGGAAATAAACTAATCAATATATGGTAAATTTGATTATGGTAAAAAGTGAGTGAATTTAATTATATTTTTCTTTGGGTTATTTGATGATTTTTTTGTTTGTGGGAAATTTATTGAGAAATTAATCAATATATTGTATACTTTTTGTTTGAAATGTGCAGGCCAATATATTGGTTTTTAAGCGTAGGTCTCAAAATTTTATTTCAATTTTTCATATGAAAAAACCATAATGAAATTACCGTAACTTCGACAAAATAATATGAACAAATATTTTGATATAACGTGCGTGTATCGATGTTTTTTTATACAAAATGCTCTGGTTATTTTTTCATTTGTGTAATCAAGGTCTCGATTTAATTCATTTTTTTGTTACGCCATTTCAAATAATTTTTGTGTGAAATGCATTGTCTATTTTTTTTTTCGGTACAAAGAAGGAGGCCGAGGCCCAAACTACTAGACTAGACTAGAACTCGTCGTGGGTGGCAGACCCAAATAATGTCGTACTCCAGCCACGAACTCATCCCATCGGGGGGAAAATCACAACGATGTATGCCCAACGGGGAAGATGACGCCAAAGATTCCATATGATCAGCCGCAAAGTTGGCTTCCCTATGAACATGTTGGATTCGAATACTCCACTCTCTTTGAACCAGGCTTCGAATGGCTCGTCATGAGCACCAAAGTTCTCTTCGGGGCCCAGTATCATCTTCGCAACACATTTGCTATCGACCTCTGCAATAACATGTCGGAATCCAAGTCCCACACCAGCATTAGCCCAAAAGCCCTCAAAGTTCGGCGCCCATAATGGTAATGCAACCAATATTCATAGTGAACCCTGCTATCCAACCTCCCAGTTCGTTTCTAACCAAACCGCCCGCACTACTAAACCCCCTGTTGTTGTTAAAACACCATCTGTATTCACCTTCACCCAACTGGGGTCTGGTGGGACCCAATGAATCATTCGAATCTCGTGCATAGTCGTGCCAACCCCCTTGTAGGCCTCCGCTGCTCGGGCATATGTCGCCGCTTTACGAAAAATTTCCAAACACCGGGCTTCGCAGGATTGGATTCGTTGATTGGAGATATGAT